CATACCGCTCCCCCGCTGCCCCTGTCCTAGGGGCGGCACCGGCAGCGGAGGCGGGGGCCGTGGCCCCTTCCGGCAATAGCACTCGCAGCTCCAGGGGCGGTGAGATCAAACGGCAGTTGGTGTACGTGTTCACCACATGGCGCTCGGGCTCGTCCTTCTTCGGGGAGCTCTTTAACCAGAATCCCGAGGTATTCTTCCTATACGAGCCAGTGTGGCACGTGTGGCAAAAACTGTACCCAGGGGACGCCGTGTCTCTGCAAGGGGCAGCGCGGGACATGCTGAGCGCTCTCTATCGCTGTGACCTCTCAGTCTTCCAGCTGTACAGCCCCGCTGGCAGCGGGGGGCGCAACCTCACCACACTGGGCATTTTTGGCGCTGCCACCAATAAGGTCGTGTGCTCTTCGCCGCTCTGCCCTGCCTATCGCAAAGAGGTCGTGGGGCTGGTGGACGATCGTGTGTGCAAGAAGTGTCCACCCCAACGCTTGGCACTCTTCGAAGAAGAGTGCCGCAAGTACCACACGCTGGTCATCAAGGGCGTGCGTGTCTTCGATGTGGCCGTGTTGGCGCCGCTACTTCGAGACCCGGCCTTGGACCTCAAGGTCATCCACTTGGTGCGTGATCCTCGTGCTGTGGCCAGCTCACGCATCCGCTCGCGCCACGGTCTCATCCGTGAGAGCCTGCAGGTGGTACGCAGCCGGGACCCGAGAGCCCATCGCATGCCATTCCTGGAGGCTGCTGGCCACAAGCTGGGTGCCAAGAAGGAGGGTGTGGGTGGCCCAGCAGACTACCATGCACTTGGCGCTATGGAGGTCATCTGCAACAGCATGGCCAAGACACTGCAGACAGCCCTGCAGCCCCCTGACTGGCTACAAGGCCACTACCTAGTGGTGCGGTACGAGGACCTGGTGGGAGACCCCGTCAAGACCCTACGGAGGGTGTACGACTTTGTGGGACTGCTGGTGAGCCCTGAAATGGAGCAATTTGCCTTGAACATGACCAGTGGTTCGGGCTCCTCCTCCAAGCCTTTTGTGGTGTCTGCCCGTAACGCCACTCAGGCAGCCAATGCATGGCGGACTGCCCTCACCTTTCAGCAGATAAAACAAGTGGAGGAATTTTGCTATCAGCCCATGGCTGTGCTGGGCTATCAGAGGGTGAATAGCCCCGAGGAAGTCAAAGACCTCAGCAAAACCCTGCTCCAAAAGCCCCGGCTCTGAGGGTTTCTTGGGAGGCCTGACTGGAGGTGGGAGACACCCACAGGAAGACTGTTGAGGTGGGAGACAACCCACCCACAGGGGACTGTGGTGTGTTTAAACAGAAACAGTCCAGACCCAAGCCGAGGAAGCCCACATATTCTACTATAGATGTATAATATAAATAACCACACAGACACTTGCTGTCAGTGTTCCCAGTCTTGCATTTCAAGAACAGTCACAATACACACACATCTCAGAAAAGGCGAGACTTGAAAGTTCTGACCAGCTGCCTTCCTGTCCTCTCCCTGCCTTTTCTCCCTTTCCCTTTCCCCCAGGTCTTACCCTCTCTCCTACCTGCCCTGCATTTTGAAGTGGGATACTGATTAAATCAAGATCCAGTAACCCAAATCTTGTTTACAAAGTTTTTGTGGTATCTGTGAACATGTAGTAGCATAATTTGGATGTGGGGTGAGGGAATAAAAAAAGGGGAAGTGGCCCAGGAGCCGAAAGCCCCATTGGGAATAATAAACCAAGGAGGCATTCATTTAAAGTAGACTTCTCTGTAAAAGCAAAGGTTATATGTGAGTATTAATAAAGAAGATAATAAATAATACTAATTTTTATACTTGCCTCCATTACTTTGGATTTACCTGTGTTGATCTGTAGCTTCAGACAGAATCTGCTTCCCATTCCTGAACTCCCATTTCCAGTCTGTTTCCTAGAGAACAGTTAAGATGGGTGGGAGCAGCTTCTTGCTCCCTGGGAGTTGTTTTCTTACATGTAAATTGTAGTCTGTCAGGTGCCAAGGAATGGGGAAACATCTTCAAATTCAAAACCAAGCCAGGAGCGCAGAAAGAATAAAGCATTCTATGTTAATTAATGAGTTAAGACTGGGGAATCCTAAAGCAGAGAATAATGTTTCAGTCCTGAGTTTAGTCCAGAAAAAAGATTAAAAAAAAAAAGAAAAGTATGTAATTAAAAAGTATTTCTGATTATTAGAACACAGACCTCATATGTTAGTGTGATCATATTGTGACAATGGTAGCAACTTCTTGGGTTAGAAAAGTAAGAGAAGTATATGTGTATGGCATGTCTTTCTGCTTCTGACACATTATGTGAAGGCATATGAAAAGGAAGTTTCACCTGAGAAGTGTAAGGGCACTCACAGGCTTTTCCTTGCTCTTGATCCAAATTAGTACAAAAGAGAATGTGAATTTATAATTGTTTATTTGGGATGCCCCTGGGGCATGCTGCTTTTCTTTATCATAGTTCCTAAAAGTAAAAGTGCAGAGAAACTATAACATGTGCCGACAGTATAAGGTTGCAGCTGAAAGCTTCTTTTAGATGTGAAAATAAACTATGAGCTAGTTAGTGTGTTGGATTTTGAGATTTGGTGTTTTCCACGGAGGAACCCATTGCAATTTTCCTCAGTGGCGTTGCTGCTGCACTGAGCCCATTGTGTGGGAGCATTTTGCAGAATGTCATATTACAATGCTACCAAACCTAAAAAGAAACGAGACAGTGTAATTACATATTACATTAAATGGGATACAAGTTCAATATAATTATGAGATCTCTGCAGGCCAACTTGTATGGGTTAAATGCTGAGGATTTTATTTTAAGGAAAGAATATTAAAAAATATGTACATGGGAAATATTTTGACATAGGATGATTCTTAAGTATAATTTTCATTATGTGAAATCTATACTGTTAAGAATTCCAAGGTAAATAAGCACAGAGGTTTAAACAAGATGTATTTAGCAGTGGATTTTATAACGAATTCTAGAATGGCTTATTTTTAATTTACTAAAATAGTTTATAATATTGTGTTTCTTAAGCCCTATTACAGCTATAACATAGTTCATGTTTTCAATGATAGCTTCATGGTAGTGCCTATGCTGAATTATCTTCAGCAGCAGAATATTTGTAATAGCTTTAATTTAAGAATACTTTAAAATTAAATGAACAAAATAAATATTAATGTTGGGTGAGTATAGATGAAACAGATTTGTGAGGAAATTAAGACAGCATAATTAAGAAGCAATTACTCAGAATAAAATAACCATTTAAAAAGAAATTTCATGTGGCATTCAGCTCTTCTCACTTAATCACAGTAAATTCATGCTTAGTTTCTCAGTGAAGGATTTTTAAGCAGTTGAATTCATTCTTTTCTCAGTATATTGAAGCACTTTGATTGCATTATAGTGGAATTACAATGTTCTGGGACCTTGATTTAACAATATATTAGATGCTGCATAGAGCCCTTGCAGCCTGCTGAGTATTTGTGGCCTCTGCTCAGATGAAATTTTAAGCTAAACACCAACAATTCTCCCTTGCTGTGTTCAAATCAGGTTTTCAGCTGTGATTCTCTTGTAGCAGCTGTATTCTCTCCACTCCCACTCCTGGGCTCTGTAATTTGAAAAGATGAATTGTTGCTCCTGGATATTTGTACCTAGCTGCATTCTAGGAAAGTGAGACAGGTGCAGTTTCCCCTAACAACCCAGATAGCCCTATCAGTGACATTCAGCTCCCACAGGCTGGAGAAGGAGAGCAGTGTTTTTTGGTGTTAATAAGCTCTGTCAAGCCCTTGGTGCAAGCAGACCTGTGCCTCAACAAATTACAACAGAGCCTGTGGCCATTTCTGAGGCAGCAAAATGTGAAAGAGGTTCACATTTCCCATCTTGGCAATATATCCATCAGCAGGAGGAAATATTTTTCAGAGCAGGTTATCAGAGTGATATTCATTATTTATTTATTTATTTATTTATTTATTTATTTAAAATTCTTTATTGTTTAAAGTATTACATATGTCTCCTTTCCCCTCCATTGACCTCTCCCCGGCCGGCTGCAGCTCAAAGGATCGCATGCCTGACTTACCCCTTTGACTTTGGAATGCTTTTATCAATGAGATAGTCATATTTATAAAATGAAGTACCCATTTCATTTAGTCAACAATATGCGTTTGGAACAAGGCAGCAGCACAGGCTGGAGCTTGAGTTTCAGGGAGCTCAGAGGCCCTCAAAGGCCTCATTCAGACTGACCATGGGTACCTGGCAGGCAGGGACTGGGGCAAATCCTGTTTCCTTCAGTGTCTATCACAGTATGAGTGCTTGATGAATATTTATTATGTAAGTGAATGGAATATGTAACTATCAAGTTTTGAAAGTCCTCAGAAGGGAAAGAGGAAGAATGTGTTACTTTTTTGGAGAGAGTGCTAGGCAATTCACCAAAGATTGCTGAAGGAAGTGGGCCTTAGGTTCTGTTTAGATGCGGGGCACGGGCAATAAAAACATCTTTAAGATTTCCAGAATGAGCTTGCGTAGACCAATATTTCTCACTGATGAATTTGAAACAAAAATTCAGAATTTCTGAATGTGGAGAGGTAAGTTTCCAAATGAGAAATTTGATTTATACTCTTTGTTTTCCCAAGAGCAGGTTAAAGTTAGGGATCATATACCTGCAAAATAAAGGCTGCCCTAGTGCCTAAGGGAGGGCTAGAAAGTTGTTTATTATTGCAGAAACCATGTGGCATATATTTATTGTTTTGAGTGCTGTGAATGTGCAGTTTGAAGGACTGTGAGGGGGATTTCACCCAGGCATAGGAGTAGCTACTTTCAAGAATTTGTGCTAATGTGGATGCTGAATGAGACCATGGCTGCCTGTTTCCATGAATCCCTGCCCAGCCCTGGCCTGTTCTGGTCGGGATTTCTGTTGTACACACTACAGTGTGGCTGGATTATGCTGTCAGTTTGAAATTAATGTGAATTTGAGTGAGGCCATAAATTAATATTCTCTGGTTCTAAGCAATGAAATAAAGATCACATTTGAAACTCAGTCTCTAAAGATGACTTCGGAAAGACCAGGAGAGAAATAAACAGGCGTGTGTTCTTCATAGTCATGAATAAGGATGAGGCATACCTCACCACTCCCCAACTTTCTTCCCTCTCTGTGCTCTCTGTCCCTGTGCATACAATGGAGTGTCTGAATGGTCTTTAGGTCTGAAGGAGAGAATATGTTCATGCCAGCTGATGGGCATGTGGAGAGGGACACTTGATCTCTGGCCTCCAGAGAGCGAGTGGCCAATGATTCTTTCCAACCGTATAACAGTTCTGTGTCAGGACCTACTGTGAACAGGTAGAAAATGAAGTGTGTGATGAGATGTCCCCAGGTAAATGCACAGTTTACAGAGCACTTTTGTCACTCACCTTGAGGAGGGCCCTTTCAAATCTGTCGTGGCTGAGAACGTAATTTCACAGTCTCCCTCCTTTCTGGGCACCCCAGCTGCTACTTCAGCAGTTCAGGTAGAGCCACTTAGCCGCTTGCCTACGGGCTCTGGTACAAGTGTTTAATAATTGAAATTACAGGGCTTGACTTTTATTACATCTGATACAATTCCACACACCCTTAATGAAGCAATGCTAAGGAAATTGTTAAATGCTGAATAACATCAAGTTTGCAGAACAGGAAATTTTATGAACCGGTGTTTGGGGATGGTACTGTTTATAAACTTGAAGGAGGCTTGAAGGGGCAGGAGCCTGTCTGTACGCTTGTCAGGATGTAACAGGTGGCCAAGGCCAAAGCTTAACTTTTGGTTGAACCAGTTGTTTGTAATCAGAGGGCAAAGTGTTTTTGGATTGCTTGAATTTTCGGCTTGTGACAGTCACCCGCCAAAGGAATAAATGTGAAATTGATCACTATAACCAAAAGCTACTCAGAACCATTCAGTAATGGTTCCAATCCCAGGTGCAGAGACAGGGCTTGATGGAAATTCAACTTGAAGCAGTTAGTCCTTAGACAGGACCAACTATGTAATTTTTTGGGCTCAGTGCAAAATGAAAATGTGGAACCCCTTAATAAAAATTATCAAACATTTTAATTCAGCAAACAGCAAGGAAGTGAGGCCCTTCTGAGTGTGAGGCCCACAAACTGCGTCCAGATGCAGATTTTGAAAAGCCTGACCACAGAGTAAATAATTGAAATTACAGAGAGAATAAATAAGAGTGGCCTTATACGCTCCTGGAAAGTAGGTGTAAAGTTATGAATTATTGTGTGTAACTATAATTACAGAAAAGATCCTAGCAAGACAAGTGCACTTTGTATGAGGGAATTCAGTGAGTGCACACAGGATGAAGTCCCTGGCGATTGCAGCAAATGATGGACAATGTCCTCTGAGTCATCAATGGGTCTTGATCCTTTTCAGATCCCAGACAGTCTATACTTTTGTGGAATCCATCTCAGAACAGGTCAGACATCTTCCGTGGGGATGACCTACTTGTCCTCAGTGTGTGGATGCTGGCAATGCCTGCTGATAATAATGTTCCCTCCCTTTGGGAACTACTGTGAGACTCTATTTGCATTGTGTATAATATACAGAGAAAGTCTGTATATGGAAAAGCAAAATGCAAGTCACAATAAACTGAAAGAATAAAGGTGCAAGATGTGCTTAAGCCAACTGCCATGCCTCCTCAGTGTGCTAAGTGGGGTCAGCTAAATTGACTTTTATTATAGATGTGATATGCTCCACTTTCCTCTGGGTAACAGTTCTTCATCCTCTCTACACCTCTTCTGTCTCCCATTTCTTCTCTACTTTGTGAAAGGATCCTGGATCTTTTTGAAGCTTTTATTTAT